ACAGCAGAAGAAGAAAGACAGGAAGTAAACACTAAAGGGAACAGCAGAAGAAGAAAGACAGGAAGTAAACACTAAAGGGAACAGCAGAAGAAGAAAGACAGGAAGTAAACACTAAAGGGAACAGCAGAAGAAGACAGACAGACATTTTGTGAGTCAAGTCGTTGGTTTATTTAGTTGGTAGTCGTGTTATAGGCTGTATTCTCATCTGTTATGCAAGAAAAACACATTCCTACACTGGATGTCTTAGTGATCTGATAATATACTGTATGCAAGCTATTGAAACTGAAGGATAGTCTTCTCTGCTCTGGTGAAATAAGTCTCTGATTGATCAAGAGCTGGTCGCTGTCAGTTACTTATCAGTTAACAGCGAGGCTGACACTGCGATCTGATATTCTGACACGCTGTCCACTCAGGCGTGACAGATACTCCTCACACCTCCTGCTGATTGGAAACGAGAACATGTGACTGGAATAATTTGCAGAGATGTTGTGCAGCGGGAATCGCAGCCTGAAATAAAACTCACTGCTGACGCTCACATCTACACACATATGTGATTTCATATCATTTAGGCAAAAATACTTCCTGTACTTTAATAGTTGCATGCACTGGTAGAAAACATATACTGTTGGCTTTTGGTTAACAAAGAATAGGATTTAAGATGGAGTTATGCTATTGTGTGCACAGTAGGTCATGGACAGTGACACATTTATAGAGGACTAGAGGTATTTGTCATATGTCAACTTGTTTCGCCAGGTTTTATGCAACACATAATGTAATGTAATAATAATAATAATAATAATAATAATAATAATAATAATAATAATAATAATAATAATGATAATAATGATAATAATAATAATAATGATGTAATGATTATGAGAGAAACTCCCTCTGGAGGGACATTTGGGATTCTAGCCTTTGCAGACCATTTACATGCTCAAGAACCCATATAACTCAACTGAGAAAAAGCAAAACCTTTAAATAAAGTTCATTTTAATTGTATTATCGATTAGTTAAACCGCCAATAAAACAGCAAATCCCTGAAATTTAGATATATACTGTTTATTTATTATTTTCATTTTTTTTTAACTCATGCAATGCCTTTTGAATGCAATGCCTTATGCTGTATTTCCCAATTTGGGATCCATAAAGATCTAATCTAAATCCTGAGATGCTTGAATTTGTATTTGGTATTTAGCTTGATAAGCTAGACATATTTGAGCTTTTTTTTTATCAACTATCTTTCTTTGGATCAATTAATCAACTAATTGGATGTGAAATATAGTTAATTGTCATTCTGCAATATGGGGTTGCAAAGCAAAATGCAGCTGTAGCTTAGTCCATGTTTGCTGCATGCGAAAAACATGACAAAACAAATCAAAACAGCAGAACATACTAAGACTGGTTGATCTTTGGAATTTACATCAAGAAACATCTGTCACTTTACCAGAGTAATCCTGATGCAACGCGTCCTTTAAAATGTAATATAAGTTGATCATTTGCTTAGGTGTTTCACATAGTGGAAAAACTGTATTTAATGTTATCTGACACACAGTGAGCCTTGACGACGTAATGTAATCCGGAAACAATGACGCAATGCAAGGGAAGATTTGTGTGGCTGAACTGTTACATCATGTGGACAGAGTCAGCGGGAAAAACTGTGAAAGCTCCAGGGCTTATAGTGGTTAGATCACATCACTCTTTACACACACACACGATCAACATTTAAACACACTAAAGCTGCGTTAAGCAGTTAGAGGCTCTACACGACACAAACTGTGTCTGTGGGCAAGTATGTCAGTGTGGGTGTTCAAGAGAATACTTCACCTACCAATCAAGTTAAACTCAATGGTTGAAAGACACCTACTCTCATTATAAAATGCTACGTACCAACATCCCCAAACTCTGTCATGAGTTATTGTTTGTTTAAGTGATCCCTAGTGGCAAAAAAGTACATACGTGATGGCATAATGAGTAGCAAGCCGGTCATCAAAGCAAAATAACCCAAACAGTTGTTTCATATTATTTCATATTATCCCGCTTACTACACAGCTTCTAACACGATGAGTCATTTAACGCAACAAATTGATTTTAAATGATTTTAAAATTATCTAATTGCTTCCATAACCAAAAACAGTCTGTTCCAGTTCGTACCAATGTCTGGAACTGCGATGAAAGCAACGTTACATGAAATGACGATAGTACTGATCAAGGTTTTCTGTAACTGTCCAAGTCTGATTACATTTTCATTTCCATTAACCAGTCTAAGGAAGGGTGTCCAAATCTACCAATTGGAATCGAGTATTCAACCAAGCAGTGGAATCACTTTTTCGAGTCAAACCCATGTTGGCAAATGGAGAATCCAGAAGTCAATACATTCAAACCCAAAATCTACAAGAGCTCAGACACAAGGGTCAGAAACAGAACCAAAATGTGTCAAACTGACTCACTACCTACGCACATATCGTGCCCTTACATCTGGGTTTAACAGTGTGTATCAACAAGGGTTTTTGGGGGTAATCCTGCACCACTGTGTCTCATTTAGCTCGACACCAGGTCCATGTTAGACTGCATGTTGGTTGTTGAGAGAGAGAGATATAGGGCAACAACTGCAGGATTACATTTTTAGATTAGATTAGATTACATTCTACTTTTTCATTTCCCTCCTGACCTCATCCTTCTCTGTCCTCCTTTAAACATTTATTTGTTTGTTCATATTTTCTCATTTTCTCTTGAGCCCCATAATCCCCGAGTCATCTCTGCGCACCACAAACTACTGGAAAGGCTCAGTGTTCATTTCACATGACGGCAGACATTTTCTATTGTCAGACAGCATTTACTGCAGAAACCATCGACACAGCTTTAAAACATTGACACAACAGAAATGATGTTATATTATTGTATTGGTGCTTTTAAGCTGGTATTGATTGATGGTTGTTTGAATGGCTTTAAATCAAAATGCTCACTTCATCAGGAATCGGACTCTGTTTCTATTACCGTTCTGCCTCCAAATAAATTAATCAGTGTTTGCCTGGCAACTAAGCAGTGAAGGTAATAAATAGCACGATATGGAATTTGTTCAAAATTGTTTTCATCTTTGCATGTTCGTGAGAAATCCTTTCTGTGTTCTCACCTCCCTCTCGTTCCTCTCACACACAGATGGAGACGCAATAACTCTCAGACAGTTTAAATATATACTGTAGGCGCCATTGTGAATTTTAATGCAATCTTAAACCTAAAGGAACTCTTTAAGAAGTATACAAGATGAGAGTTTGTCTATTTGTTAGGAGGTTAAAGAAAAGGGCCTGATTTTTCTTGTTACCTGGTCGAAGGGTGTGGAACTGGTCAATTACATTTTGGAGCAAATCTATATAACAAATATCAAAATGGATCTTCTTTTATTATCAATATGAGATAGTGGAACTTTTTGATTGCAAATGGTAAATGGAGTTTACTTATACAGCTCTTTATCAAGGGTTCAAGGTTCAAGGTTCTTTATTGTCAATCTGACATAGCTACAGAGTAATTATGTACCTTCTTATCAGGTCTTTGTGACCCCTCAAAGCATACTACGAGTCATTCACCCTTTAACACCTTATTCATACAGAACAGTACCACTTGCTCTAGGGAAGCTAACGCACGCACGCACGCACGCACGCACGCACGCACGCACGCACGCACGCACGCACGCACGCACGCACGCACGCAACGCACGCACGCACGCACGCACGCACCACGCACGCACCACACGCAAGCACCACACACACACACACACACACACCACACACACACACACACACCACACACACACACACACACACACACACACACACACACACACACACACACACACACCGTGTTGACCTCACGGGCTGGGATCGAACCAACAACCTACTGGTGAAAAGACGACCACATTGCAGCCACTTAAATCCTCACTCAAACAATCCTGAAACCGTTTTCAAACTAAATGTGGTTCCATATTACAATAGATCTCTAAAGTAAAATCCAAAGAGCTTTTGTTTAAAAAAGACCAACGTCTTTACTTCAATCAAAAGAGTTAAAATCCTGAAAAGCTTTTTATTTTAAGACCAAACAAATCTAGTCCAACCCTCACCCGGCTTCCAGTGTTGGGTTGTGTTTGTCTTTATCTCTTTAAAAGGCTAAAAACAGGCTGAGGGTTTGACTATTTGTCAACAGGACTATTGAAAAACTACAATCCTGAGTTTTTATTTACTTTGTGGAAAGGGCCAATAACCTTTTTAAGCTAATTTGAATAACACACACACCACATCTTCTTCTTTACTTAACATTTTTAGATAGGACTAACCCTTTGCAGATAATTCCCCTACTAGATTGGGATTGTAGCCACTTGAATCCTCACTTAAGTAATCCAAAACTCAATTTGGTTCGGCATCACTTACACTAGATATTTTTAAGTAAAATCCAAAGAGTTATTGTTTTAAATAGACCATGATCATAACTGTAATCAATATAGTTTAAGTTCAAGTCCAGAGAATCTTTTGTCCAATGTCCATCCAAATCTAGTCCGACCCTAACCCTAGTCCAATCATTGAAGCTCCCAATTTCTTAAAGCACTCACAACTCGAGCTTTAAAAGTTGTGTGCTAAACAATCACCATCACTTGAAGAATCATTAAATCCATCTGCTGAAGATTCAATCAAACCCTTCAGAGGAGATCAGTGGACACCTCTGGAAACCGACCAATCAGCTTCCTCTAAACTAAAGCAAAGCCTGAAGCTGAGGCATTGACCATTTCTCCTGCGATTGTCCCGGTGTAAACACAAACTTTCATCCTCTTGGCAACGCTCTCATAATCCCACGGAGGGGATTATACCGGGCGGTCATTTAGGAGGATCATACCAGAGGGGGGGGGGGGGATTTGAAATGTATCCCGAGGGAGATTCAGGAATACTTGCTGCGTGGTGGAAAGGTGAGGTAAAAGATGTAGGAGCGAAAAGAGAAGCTGCTTTTCTACTTACCTATATCTGTCTCTTTGTGGTTCTTCACGAGTTCTCCAAGCTCGAAGTTCCCAGCAATAATGGCGACCTGGAGGGGGAAATAAAAGTGTTTTTATCTTTTGTATTCAGGTCCTTTTCAAATCTGAAAGGCTCTCACGTCTTTCAAAAATCCCTCAAAGTCATCTTTTCACCCCTAACCCCTTTTTCCCCTGGCTTTTATTTCTTTCTGTATTTGTTAGTTTCTTTGTTTGCTTGCAAAACGTCTTGAAGCACTGTTTACAATAGCTATGTAAATATCATTATGATTACTTTTAGATAGTATTTAAAAAGCACAAAAGGACAGTTAGTGGATTAACTTGAAAAAGCAGAATTTGTGAAGACAGATTATTATTTAAATTCACATACAGTACGTGTTAACCAACAATGAAGCCACGTTCAAAGACCATGTGCTTCCAGCTGAGGAGAATGCTGAATTCTCAGATTTCAAAAGGTTCTCCATCAAAAACAAGAAAGAGGTACTTATTCACAATAATGTCAGTAATTTCCTTTGAACAGACTCTGACTTTGAACTTGATACAAAATCCTTCATGGCTTTAATCATCTGTAGCAGGGAATCTAGTAATCACGTACGCACGCACACACACACGCACGCACGCACGCACGCACGCACGCACACACACACGCACACACACACACGACAGGATGGAACAGTATTCACATGATAAGTCACATGTTTATGTGAGGAGGAGAGAGTCAAAGTTTTCTGTTGCCTTCATACAAGGAGTGGAGAAAAAACTTGGATTATTCATTAGGTAAAAACATGACGACACACTAAATCCATTGTGTTTTAACATAAAACTGATGGAAATAATGTACCAATAAAGCATTATAAACATTATTCCCTTACTTATTCGTAATAGTGTGTAAAAGCATTCCCACATAAGTTGTTTCCAGATATATATTAATGGAGTAATACTATGTTTTCAAAAATTCCTCCGATATTTCTATATTTTGTAGTTTGTTTTTGTTGGAAACTCAAGATACTTATATAACTGGATACATTCCAATAGATAAACCTTATTGAACAGTATCATTTGAATTTAAGGCCAAACTCTTAGTTTATCACCAGCTCCACTGATGGTCTTGATCTCCTGCCTTTTGACAATAATGAACCCAATATCAATATGTTGTCAAAAGGCTGGAGCAATGGATTCAACATTCAGGGGAAACGACATGTATAATATCAAGAAGAATCAATAACACACACGTTATAATTAATAACCAATCAAACAGATATTTTTCAGGTCAAGAATTAACTTTCATTTGCAAGGGCTGATTCTGTGAGAACAGCACCATCTACTGGCCTGGCATATGTACTACAGCGTCTCCAGCGCTTTCGAACGGCAATGGCCGTGGCTGTCTCCTCCTGATTGGTGGAGTTGGCCCAATAGCCGTAGCGCCACCGTCCTGACGTCAGTAAAGTGTTCAAATCTGGATCAGTTTTTATCAGATCCGTTGCAGCCAAGCCCCCAGGAAGTGCGCCGGACTCAGATGAAAATATTCGTGCTGGCCAAACGGCGGTACTACACTTCCTTTTGGTTGCCAGGCCCGGAAACACTTTTTCCCATTGACTTACATGGGGAAAGAGTGGTCTGTAAATCGTTGGATAATTTTTTTTAAACTAAATAAACTACCCAGTATGAACACTTGTATAGCCCTTATTAAAAACATTCGTTCCCCAAGTTGTAAAAATGTGCTAATAACGTTATTCTGAGAGTTATTTCCCTCTGCATTATGAGCGCGCATCTAACCCACGGGACCGCGCCGCCCGGCACGTTCATGTTACGTGTTCAGCACTACATGCGTTTATCTTTACCCATGGATGTACAATAAGAACGGACCCATATCGCCTTACTGCCATCCCACGGAGCTGTAATAATGGATATATTGCACATGTTTGCTGTAATTCATCATTTGTAAAATATTATACTACATGGGCTGTATGATTAAATCTTGTACCGTAAATGTTGTATTAAATAAAGTTAATATTACCGACGTAGATTAACGTCCCTGTAGCTTCTTATTGCACTAAGAAGCTTATTGCACTGTATATATATATATATATATATATATATATATACAGTGCAATAATTATTTCATGCTAAATGAAGCTCTGTTGCTTGGATATCACTAGATCCTCTTACAGCGTAATATAAAAGTACATAACGATTGATGTGTAAATTAGCATAATTACTAGCTAACCGCTAGCTGCTAACTGCCGCCTCGTTAATTTCAAATCTATCATAATAACAAACCATTACCATGCTGTCATGAACGTGCGGTGCTGTTACGTGTACGCAAATTGACGTGCTTGATGTGAACGAGCATTTTGGGGGGGCATGGTTAAAGTTGCGCATGCGCTATGAGCGCACATACGGGTACTTCTCAGGCATGCCGGGTAATCTGTGACGTTTCGCTCTATCAAAAGTTGGGCCATTTTATCATCATGCGCGAATGAGCAACTCTCATAGGAATGAATGAGGCCCCGCCTCCCACGCTGTATCCAGTTCTTATTATACATCCATGGTTGCAGCCCCTTTTTAGAGATTTGGGTATGGAGGACAATAGAGAGGGTTGTGTTTTCTGACACTTGGTGAGTTCCCTGGAACACCGGGGACACATATTCATGTATAAAAGACGTACAAAAGTGCATTTTGCATGATAGGTCCCCTTTAAAGTATAATGTATACGGCTCCCACCTGAAACTCATTCTCATCTTATATTGTACTTCTTAAATATATATGTGAGCCTATATTACACAGTAGTATTCATGTGTTAATAAGCCCACTATTCAAAGACATTCAGTCAATTAGAGCTGATAACATGTTCTAACAAATCTTTGTTTTATTTCCATAACAAGCTTCATTCTCCCTTATTATAAGCAATCTGAGGCTTCTGTTTTAAGGGATGAGCTGCAACAGGATAACTGAAACCCTCTGGAGAGCTGTGATGTTTCTTAAATCATATTCAAAGCATCATTGACTTACATTTGATTGATTTTGCTGAATTATAATTTAACCTATGAGGGAGTATACCTCACCTCTAGCAGCCCGTTGTATGTTTTTCTGTATGTGGCCCTCAGTGAAAAAAGTTTGGACACCCCTGACCTAAACTCTTCATCTTCCTTTGACCAATTAAAACAAAGATGCACTTCCTGTTTGTGTCCAGCAGGGGGCGGTGAAGCCTGTTCCCCCTGTCAGTGACCCAGATCAGCTTCCTGTTGTTGACTCCCGGTGCCAAAGCACGCCTAAAGTCTTGTAAAAAGACTTCATTTTCCTCTCATACAGTATGTTGCACACATGCACAGGAGCGAGCGTGCACACACACCTCGAGGGAAAGCTGTCAGCAGCATTATGTAATCTCTCCTTCCTGGAGAACAAAATCAGGAGGAAGAGAGATAAAAAGTGTATTATTAAAGCGGAGTTGGCTTGAGTAGTAATACTCCGCTGCCTCCCTCCACAGTTGACCTTTTTCTTCAAATAAATACTGAGAGAAAAGCACTCGAGAAGCTCTAACCGAAGTGTTTTCCATCCTCTTGAATCTTTCAACACGCTGCATTAATATACAATATCTTCCATTTTTCTCTCAGAGCTGAAGTGTGCGTCAATAAATGAAACGCCGCTCTTCTTCATGTGATGCTTCCTGTGAGCGGGATGGAGGATGTAAAGGGCCCAAATTCAAAAAGAGTCAACGCAGGGGATTTTTCCTACTTTTACATAAACCTATTCCTGGAATTAGTACTTTTTGGATATTCAAATGTATGTATTTTAAACAAACCTAAGTCAGACCTTAAATTACTGCTACGCGACAGTTCATAAATGCTACATGCAAAGAAATGAAGTCTAACACCTTCCCAGTGAAGGCTTTCAGATTGTGCTTCAGAAATAACGGGCAATATAAGAAGATGCTGATTTTTTACGGCAAGATACAATTACTATGTGCCAACAAATTAGAATGGGGGAGGAATATAATTCATATGTCATAATTAGGCAGACAATTATAAAAGCAACACAAGCTTTGGATCAGGTGTATTGTAGGTTTATTTTTAGTTTAATGTAGGATAATGATATTGGGGCACTGCTCTAATAGAGGTCTATCTGTGCCTATAAAGTGTGTGTGCTTCATACAGTCTATGGTCCTTCATCATGAACTCCCACGCACTTCGAGGATCTCCCATAATGCACCATGCCATGTGTGACAAATCTGTGACAGGATTTTCTCCCACAGGAGGTCTGATCCGGCTCGTGGACGTAATGGAGAAACACGTCAGGAGGAAGTGACAGTGATGAAGATCCACTGAGCGCGGCCGGAAAACTGACCGATGCAGAACTAACTGAGAGGGAAGAAGTTTGATGAAACACCGAGAACAGATTTAAGAGTGAATGTTTTATATATGTGTGTGTGTTGGAGACTTAAGATGTGATTGCAGGCAGCACGTATTCATGTTTTTCAACTCATTTAATAGTAATTGATACAGACTAGGTACAAGAAGTTAGTTGAAGGACACGCACGCACGCACGCACGCAGGCACGCACGCAGGCAGGCAGGCACGCACGCAGGCACGCACGCAGGCACGCACGCACGCAGGCACGCACGCACGCAGGCACGCACGCACGCAGGCACGCACGCACGCACGCAGGCAGGCAGGCAGGCAGGCAGGCAGGCAGGCAGGCAGGCAGGCAGGCACGCACGCACACACACACACACACACACACACACACACACACACACACACACAGGACATTTACTCAAGCAGCAGTTTATAAATTAATTTAAATTAGCTCCACCTTATCCAGTAATTAATATATGATTCTATATTGGGACATAACGCACAGTGTGTACTTGTCCTTCTGGTACTTAAAAATATATAATTTTTTCTTTATTCACCTAATTCAATACTAATATATAAAAACAAGTTTCATATAAATAGTGAGACAGGATCGTTCAGGTAAAGCTGCTTTCTGTAAAACCAAAACAATGAGCTGAACTAAGCTAAATCTCTCCGTGGCACAAAGTGTAAACTGGGTT